TACTTGCCTGCAAGACTATGACCATTGTTCTACTTAAAAGTATACCGAGAGCTATTCATCTTCTCATGTTTGCCTTCTAGACACTCGTCACTCAGCCTAAGCTAGTTGCCCAGGTTGCCCCCGTGGTCAAGAGGAGGCATCCCGAGAGGGTGACTGTCCCGCTGATCGTAAATGGCTCTCAACAGGGCAAGGAACTCTTAGATGGCTGATCTCCAAAGTCCTTCATGCATATTTACTTTTATCTAAATGCCTTAGATAATATTTGATAAGCAGTTAAGCCATTCTATTGACTTGATTCCTGCTTTCTCAGATTTGGGCTGTTATTCCCATATTTTTTCCTGACTGAAGCTAAACCCATCCTATTTGTATTTATTGGCAGCAATGGCCGGGTTTAGAAATCTGCCCGCCTATGTCTCCAGCAGCTTAAGACCTGGTTTTGCCGTCTTAAGCAAGGTCCATTTCATTGCATGTAGTTTAAGGAACCTGGCTGCAAGTGCTTTTTGTTTTAATTCATTAGTTTGAATGCTTGCGTGATAAATGAAGATCGTTCCTGCTTTACTGCCCTGTGGGGCAGCCCTTATGTACTCTATTAACTGGGAAGTTATTTTGTAGACGAGGGAGATTAGCTTTGTATTGCTGCTCCGTTTAGGCTGTTAGATCACTTAGTGTAGATCATTCTGCCAGTTCAACTTATGAAGGAAGGGAAGATTTTTTTTGGCTGCTGGACTAAAGAGGTATTGTTCAGGCATACATAACATGTTAGCTTGAATAGCCTTGTCGTAACAAGCTCTTTAAAAACTCTCCTGGTCCTGCAAACTGATTAATTTCTCACCCATTTGCCTGTAAGGCCTAGATTTACAAAGGAATTTAGGCATGTTTCTTTTTAGGAGGAACTTAAATTTACATGCCCACCAGAACAGCTTGTAAAGCTGCTTCTCTCGAGCTAATTACACACCACAGTTTTCATGTTGGTTCACTCAAACACTTAAATTTCTTCTGCTGCTGTTGCTTCTGCTTCATAGAAAAGTTAGTTGTGCCTAAATTGGACTGAACAGCACTTGCTCCAGGTAATTTGGGGTTTACCAGTTAGACAGTCTAATGCCATGCTTGTCTTTGCCCTTTAAAGAGCCTAAGAAAAATGAATTTGAGCAAGTTTAAAGCACAATCCAGCGCAACAAATAAGAGTTTCAGGTATTACTCATTCAGATGGTGAAGAGGCTTTGCTTTGGGTTTGATCTCTCCAAGAATTAGTTGCGTTTTGCCCAACGATGTGCCTCTGCGGCCTCAGGAGCTAGGATTAAACCTAGAATTGCTTACTGCTCTTCTTTACCTACACGTCGTCCTCATCAGAGGTGGCTCCTACTCTTGTGAGATCTTGCATCTTGTGCTGCAAGGTGATATGTTCAACAGGAGGACCCGCTCCAAGCACGTCTGTAGGCTGGTGTTCAGGCCACTGTGTTTGTAACTTGTCTGGACCCTCCTCTGACTGCTTACATTTCAAGCAATAGCTTTTATCACTAAAATACTGTGTAAAGAGTAGATATCCTTATGATTGTTTTGAGAAACGCTCATCTGTACTTAAATCGACAAGGTACAGCTTGAAATTCTTCCTGGATTAGATTTTAATCTCTTAAATGCCTGTCCCAGAGCTGTGGATGGTTGAATAAAATCCAGAGAAATGGCAGAATTTCCTATTAGCCCTTCTTGTCGTTGTGCCGAGATCAGGCGATAGGAAGCCCTCGCTGCTGTACTGGGTGTTGCAGATGTGATGCTTTGGAGTCAGACTCTTCCCTCTGCAAAGAATACTTTACAGAACAACTAACGTGATGCATCTATGCATCTGCCATCCCTCGTACATGGGGGAAAAAGTTATCCCTTTTTGCCTGTACATCTTGCATTATTCTCTCTGTTCCTGTCTTGCTTTCTATTTCAAATGTGGGGGGCTGTCTCTCTGGAATCTGCAGCCCTTCTGGCTTCCAGATCAGCAGAAAGTCCGATCCAGGCATACACTCCTGTTTCATTCATCCCTGACATCTTGATAGAAACCAAGAAGAATGATTTTTATCTTTATTGTTGCAGGGGAATGTAATACTGAATCGGTTCTGAGAATAGCCCATTTCTTTTGGAAAGGGATGGCGGTAAGCGGCCTTTGAGTTTGAAAAGGAGCTTGTATGAGAATGGTGTTATACACCGCATCTTCTTCTTGAATTGCATACGTGCTCGCTATTTTACATGGTGTTAGACAACTGATTTGTCAAATAGATCCAGACTTAGGAACACATTTCATACAGCTCATTCTAGAGCTGCAGAAAGCTAGTGTGTTGCCCTTTGGATCTTGAATTGATAATACAGTGCAAACAAAACACAGCCAACTTCAGCAACAGGGGCTTTTTTTTTTTTTTCCCCCAACCTAAAATACTAGACTGAGCACAGAGCCCATCTCTCCTTTTTGCCTGTCTCTTTCTTTTGAGCTTCCTGCATTTAGAGCCCCGAGGTGATGGATCAGCACAGCACACATATCCAAACTCTCGTAGCACAAAGCTCATAGCTCTCCTGCCTTGAGGCTCCCCCTTGTACTCCTCAAGACTCATGGCAGGCTTAGGCTCCTCTTAGCAGCAAGACTGGTCCTAGCCTGTGCTTTGGGCTCAGTTTTGTATGAAAGAGAGGAGGAGGGAGGCCTTTCTTGCCCAGTTCCACAACACACAGTCACTGCTTGGCCTTGGGACATGCATCTTGCCACATCTCTTTGACAAGACATGCAGATCACCATGGTACATGCTGTCTTATCCAAGTAGAAGGGAGATAATTCAGCTCTGCAACATCTCTATATCTGGAACGGGAAAGGCAGCAAAACCTTAAATACCTTGCACCAAAAAGCACCGTCTACTTAATTGCACGGTGTCTTATAATTTGAACGGTGATCTGCAGTAATCCGTTATCACTTGTCCGTGAGGAATTAGTTCACATAAACATAGGATGATGCTCCCTTGGACCCAGAGAAGTGTCTTGAATGTTGTCTGGCTTTGTGAATATGTGCACGTCTTGGAATCTGGGTAAATTCCTAAAACTTACCATTTAATTCTAAAGTTTCTAATAACTCGATACAGAGGAAAATACCTTGTTTTGCTGCATTTTGCTGTTAAAGCTGAAAATACAGCACTCTCTTATTTCCTGTGCTTTTTCTTAAGGAAGATGCAGCAAACCTAGAGGTAATATGAAAAAGTTTAAGATAAACAGAATCTACTCAAATAAATAATACCGAGTATTCATGCAGTTTCTGAATCAAGGCTGCAAGCCCTAAGCTGGGGGAAGGCGAGGGGCAAACAGACCGTCCCCAATGTCTGCGGCGCACATTGCCTAAGTAAAGTTCACAAATGTCCCGCCTCGGATTCTTGTGTTTGTCGTATTACATCATTTTAAAAATAAATGGTTGATTGTGTAGGGGTTGGTTAAAGTATTTTAAAGTCTTTGGTCAGTAAGGGACTTCAGGGCCAGTCTCCAAGACCCCATATACAGCATTTAATTAGCATCTGTGGCACATACTGATTTCTGGTTTATCACCTCTGTTAAGAATGCTCCAAACCTTTGCAAACGAAGCTGCAAATGCTAGGCAAAGTTTGCATTAAAAAGGTCTGAAACAGCAGTTGAAATCTAAGAAGAAAGTTCATGTTTTCGCTGCTGGCTGCATGTGCGGTGCTTATCTCTCCTTCACCGTCCACAACTGTAAATTCTGAAAAGCGGTTTTTCCTTAAGGTAATTTGAGGTTTTTATGGAGGAGAAGGAAGCCCTACACGTGTATTAAGGGGCAGCCTGGGAGGAGGTAAGATGGAAGAGGAAATTAAAGAGCAGTAGTCCTCCACGCTGCCCTCCCATGGGGATGCTTATTTTTCACAGAGGGACTTGTTGCAATATAGCTTATCCTATTTACAAAGGGGAGCAAAAAAAAAAAGAAAAATAACGTGGAAAAGGATCCACGCTAGGGACTATTCATAACTGCTATTCCGAGATTTTCCCCTGCAAGACAGATCCCAAAATGTATCGGGCCTTGAGTAGAAGGAGTTTCTTTTAAATTGAGTTAATGAAGGAGACTCATACTGACAGCAGTTGAATCTTGGAGTTACATATTCAGCAGATCAGTAATAGCTGTATTTTTGTATTTTTTTTTTTTTTTTTTAAATTTGGAAGGAAAATTAACCAGTTGCTGAAGTTAATGTACAACATACTATTTGCATATAGGATGGTGATTATATTTGGATAAGGATTAAGCCGATGAAGGAAAATTCACATAACACACCCCAGATGACGTAAAGCGGATGTTCCAAATTACAGACCCAGAGACAGTGTAAGTGGTCTGTGGAACTGTATTAAATAGTAAAATCAAACTTGTAAATTAAGCTTGATTAGTTCATGTTCCTCAAGAAACCGAGGTTGACGTTTGTCCAAAAAGTTTTGGAATGACTGGCACAGAAAAGCAGAAGATCTGGCAAAAATAGCCTTCTGCAAATAGCAAAGTTAGTGTGTTTTTTCTCCTTTGTGCAGCTGTCAGGAAAGTCCGCTGTTGGAAGAAGTCGCTCGTAGAGGATTCGGCCATTATTACTCACTTTCGAAGAGTTTATGATGGCCCGGTACAGGCCATAAATACATAAATATACGGTCAACAGTAATAATTCATAAAGTACAGCTTGGTCCTATAAAATGGTGTTAACAGTACGAATTAACATAATGGGGTGGTTTCTTGGGTGATTGACTCTTCAAACCATGGAGCTTCGTAAATGTTCCTACACGATCTTACCGGTTTTCAGTAAAGCTGTCCTCTGGGGTGTCTTCTGTAGTTCATACAGCATTAAACACATTTGGGGTTTTAGCACTTTAGGATGCAAGTAGTTGGCCAAACGGAGCCTGGGGTTGTGATAAAATAATTGCTTCAGCCTTTGGTTAAACATCTGTATTGCTCGTGAGCGTGCCTGACAGCCGTGATTTATCCTTTCCTTCTTTTATAGTGATCGACACCATACATCCAGTGCAATTCCCGTTCCAAAGAGACAGAGCTCTAGCTTCGGCAGATTGGATGTTGGCTTTTCCAGTGGGCTTCCTTCTCCAGATAAAGGACTCCGAAAACGAGCCAGCACAGGAAACGAAAGACTACAGTACAAAACTCCTCCTCCTAGTTACAACTCTGCTTTAACACAGCCTGTTGCCATCACAGCCCGTGTAGGAGAGTTAGATAAAAAACCTGGATCAATATCTTCCTCCTTGGATACCTCTATGGACTCCTCGAAAGGAAATACCAAGAAAGGCGAGGACTTGTGCAGCAGTTTAAACGGAGAAAACGGGAGCCTAAACAATACCCAAGACCGGCAGGAGTCTTTCCTAGGACATACTAGTGCAATAAATGGGGCGTTTCTGCCTGGTGAGTGCTCGGGCACTGCAAGCAACGAGCAGCCCTGCGAGTTTCGACCCTCGCTCGGCCCTGTCCTTTGCTGCACTGTGGAGCAAGCGGAGGAGATCATGGGGATGGAAGCGACGGGGTTCGGCACGGGAGATCAGCTTGATGACTTTAACTCCATCCCGGTGGAGCACGCCGTGGCAGTGGAGTGTGACGAACAAGTCCTAGGGGAGTTTGAGGAGTTCTCTCGAAGGATCTATGCACTGAATGAAAACATGTCCAGCTTCCGCAGACCGCGTAAAAGTTCGGACAAGTGAGCTTGGACAGGGATTTGATAGCAGACATTGAGGTGAAATCAGTGGTCTGGAATAGAGATAAAATTGCACTTATTCTTTATATTAATTATAAAAAAAAAATAAAAAAGCTAAAGCTATTCCTATGGTGTTAGACAAATGGACTTGAGCATGATAACACAGGATCATGGTATATTCACAGCCCAGGTAAATTTTGATTCTGCTTCCAGTCCTCCTATGTCTAGTATTTATAATCTGTTGGAATTTTTTTTTTTAGGCATTGGAATCCATTTATAAAGGCTTTCCTGGAAACAATTTCGAGTGCTGATCAGGCCCTTCTATGAATATTTGTTAATTTCTTAATTATTATTTAGAGTTAAATTTATTTTAATCTTTTCAGAAGAAAAAAAAAAAACTTAATTTAAAAATACATTTATGGTAAGACCTCTTTACCTTCTCCCATGTACTCCTGTGTTTTCTTGAGCAATGTAGTCCGCGTTACAGAAATACCATGAATTTGTTATAATTGGACAGCTTTCTCTTGGCTGTGCTCTTGTAGCCTTTGAAGTTCTAGTTTGCACTGATGGGTCTTCAGTCGGTGGTGTAAACTTGCCAGAGAATGAGCACCTGTGTGGTATCTGCAGTTTCCTTGCACCTGATTAACCAGAAATGACATTTTTTCCCCCTCCTTTCCTCCATACTCACTGTTCCTTCCAGCAGAAGCCTGGAGGACTAAATCCCCCCTAAGGCTTCTTCTAAAAATCACAGCCTGACCATTCCCTGCTTCAGCTGGGCACAGACCTCATCAGCAGAGACCTAACGAGCGCACTACCTGCGTGGGGTTCGGCTGCCAGCCCGCGAGGTCTCTGACGGGGACAGCGTGCTGTGAAGCACTTTACAGGCATCTTCCTAAAAACCCAGACTGAAAATGCAGTCAGCACTTTGGAATTAGGCGAATTTGTGGAATCGCTCCACCCTTTGTAGAAAGGAGGCACCTAACATCATTCATCTAAATTCATATCCTTTTAACCATCTGTACTTTAAAGGGAGAAACTTCCAGTGGTTCGCTGTTAGGTAGGTTACCACCGGCACATGTGTTCAGCTGCACTAATGGGAAAGCAATTTGCAGCCTGCTTTGTGATTCCTGGTATTTGTTTCAGTTTGGATTTCATTGCTCTTGCTTTTCTATATTGTATACCCAAGAATTTGGGCTCGGTTGTGAGCTCTCAAATATAAAAATATATAGCAGAATAAAAAACACTTCATCATGCCTGGCTTTTTTTTCCTCCCTGGTCTATGCTTTCTTTTGAACCAATGACCTAGTCTTTTTCCTAACTTCACCGTAAGGCTAGCCTAAATTAACGTTTTAAAATGTGGATATGTATAATCTCAACTATCTGTTGTCAAAACAAGATGTGTATGTGAGAACCAATATACATAATAGCACTGTTCTAGAATATGCATTTTTCCAGGTAACACCTTAATGATTGTATTAAAATTATGTTCACATTTCTTCTGTTAGCTTTTAACGGTTGTGTCTGCAATTGAGTTGTTGGGTCGAGCCTTTCTACAGGGTTTCGTTATCTTTGGTCTGTCCCAGTACGATGTGCTGGATGGAAGCACTCGGAAGCAGAGACCTTGATGCTGTAAGGCACTGAACGTGATCCCAGGTGCAGACTTGGGCGTGAAGTTGGACACATCCATGAGCATCTTCACCCTCAAATAAGCTCCTCTGTTCCAACCTCATGAAAAGCTTCCCTGAAGGAAACACTGCAGCAGCTTTAAAGCACTGCCATCGTCTTTGAGGAGAGATAGGTAGGAAACTCTCACTGAGCCAGAAATGAACACCTGAAAGCGTAGCACTTATTAATGAAGTGGCCGTAAGATACTTTGGGCCTGTATCTATCCATCTTCTGACAGCAGTGCAATTTTCGGTGAAATTCAATAATGCTGAGTCAGTCGTGCGCCCTGCGGGATGGGATCTGGCACGCTCAAGGCAACACCGACCTCCCGTTGTAGGCACGCTCGTTTTCCTCTGTGACAGAAAGGCGTTAGCTTGTGTGTGATGGTGACTTTTCAGAGCAACCCAAAGAGTAGTTGTCAAGTCGCTGTGTTTCGTAGGCGAACAGGGAGCGTCTCAGTGCAATTAAGCGACACATGAAATTAGGTTCATAGAGCATCAGCAGGACTTTGGATTTTTTTTTTTCATTAGTTGCGCGTTTTCTCAGGTTGCACCCGACCAAATGAAGTCCAGTTTTCCTCCCTGATGTTGTGTTGCTGTTTGAGCCCTGTAATTGTGAACGTGTCAAACACGATGGTTGGTTTCCGCATCTGTCGCGCAAAGTTGCTTTGACGGGCTTTCTCTGGATGTATCTTTAGTAGGCCTTACATTGTCCCCGTGTTTCTCTTCAGCTTTCATCGCTTTCCGTATGGAAGGTGGCGTGAAGGGGGACAGCGTCGCAGGGCCAATTAAAGCATTGGCAAACTTCTCGTTGCTGTGAGGATGGGGGATTGTACGGACTGCAGCCACCTCATGGCTTGCTTTTTTCCTGATTATCCCCCCCACAAATAGGTTTGAAGGTGAGATGATATATCACAGTGTGCTTTAAACTGTCAGGAGCCTTTCAGTTCCTGCACAGCTGTGACACTGTTAAATGTCTGCAAATGTCTTCAAGTGGAGAAAACATTTCATTGCAATCTTTTCCCCTCACTAGGAATTCCTAAGATTTTTGAGAATATTAGTTTTGGAAGATCACATCCCACTATATTTTTATAGCAAGCACAACAGCATTGGCTTATCCTTGCTTGACCAGGTATTTAAAATAAGCAAAACCAGAATATCCCATAGTAAATGACACATTAAAACTATGTTGGTGATTGCGGGAAAGCTCATCTGTATTTATAAAATAAAACTGATTAGTATCTCTCAACTTGTGTGTCTTCTCTTAATGGCTCCTTTGTGTTTCTTTGCTTTACAAGCCTGATGTGAACCACGATGTCCTCCCCAGCCCCCCTCAAAACTCTTTGGCTTATTTTTCACCAAGCCCGTACCGACCCAAATGTGAATATTTGGGCAAGAGGGTTTGCTGGAAGACCCGACTGCCTCGTTGGCTCCAAAGCCTATTTCACGCGAGATGGTACTGCAGTTGTTTTTCACGCTCCTTCCCAAAAGATGGCACGCAGCTGGAAAACCAGCTTACGGTGGGGCTGGGCGACAGCTGGATGTGCAGAACTTTTATGGCTGGTGGAAAGGCCGTGTTCCCTCATCGGGGAGGCATCGCTACTCATCCAGCGCCTTCTGTCAGCCCAGCTAATAAGCAACAGATGTCTGCCTAAACAGCTTATGTTCCCCTCCAACAGGAGTCCGCTGCACGAGCCTTGGGAGGAGGCCGGCCACGACACGGCGTCGCCGGTGGGAAGCGGTGGAATGGGCAGAGCTACAGGGGCTCTCCAGGCAGCATCAGCGCAACAGGTTTTTTGTTGGTTTGGGTGGGTTTTTTTTTTTTTTCTTTTTCTCCCACCCAATCTGTCTGTCGGCAGAGAGTAAACTGCCAAGGCGCCAACTGTATAGTCCTGGAGCTGGAGTGGGAAGATAGAGGAGAGAAATTTTACTTTAAGCTGTTTTGCAAGGTCAAACAGCTTTATTGCAATGTGCATTAAAGTGAAGAATAAGCTCTGGATGGGAAAGGTTTGTATTGAAATGTAGCTGGAGGTGCCGCTGGAGAGAGTGGACTTGTTCTGGATAAACCTGGGGCTCTTCTGGACCTCATTTTGTCACCTTTCAAATGGCCAGAGAGGGTGTTTCGCCTTGGTTTCTGGGTTTTGACCTTTTTCAGGTGGAAGTGTTTGGACGTGCTGTGTGTCCTCTGATCTGATCGGGTTTAGCTGGTGTCTTTGGGCAGCCGTGAGCCCCTCCCGTCTGCAGGCACGGTGGCCCTAACCCCAGCTGAAAAAAGGACGGTAATTTTCCAGGTGAAAAAAAAATAAAATCTAAGACTTCTTGTAATTGCTGGGTTTTTTTTGATGTCAGCTTATTTTGTATATGGCAGAATGCAGCATTGTTTTACAATTTTTCATTAAATAGTATGATTTTTCTTTTTCCACTAAGTAACGGCTTGTCAGCTCTGCTGCTGCTGAAATTTGTCCTGTATGTATTGCATTGACTAACTTGACAATCTGTTGGACTCATCAACCTAACTCTATGATGTTATTTTGAATAGGTTGTTTTGATAAAACCACACTTGAAATTATGAATTTCCGACTTCCAGAACAGCCGTATCCATTCTGGTCTTGGTTTTAGCAGGGACAAAAAGTGCCTTTCCGTGTTGCGCTGCCTTGTTCAAAGAAACTAAAGTCACAAAATAAAATTTAAAATTTAAAATTTAAAAATTCTAAAAAAAATTTAAAACATTTTAAAAAATTTAAAAAAATTAAAAAAGAAGAAAAAATGCTTTCTGGTAGTCAGGTATTACAATTTTTCATTGACACAGGTCCATTAAGCCTTGAATCGGCTCGAGGAACCCATGGAGCTGGCGCTGCTTTCCCCAGCCGCGGCGAGCGGACGCGCTCTCCCAGGAAGGTCAGCGGAGGAGAACCTAACCCGTGTTTTCTCCCAGCCCGGCCGGCTCCCGCGGGAGAGGGGGGAGCACCTATACTGATTACCCACAGTAAGTGAAACAAGCTCAGGCTGTTTATTTAGGCAAAACTAAACGTCGTTTCCTTGGCTGAGCAGAGGTGAGATGGGGAATAAATCTCACGCTTGCTCTAATTATTGATTTTTTTTGGCCTTTTGGCAGCAGCGCCTTGGCTTTCCGTCATGTGTCCGCCTGCCAGCAGCGGCACGCGGTCTGCGTGCCGGTGGCATCGTGTAATCGCGGCAACCAGCCCTCGGCTCCTGCAAGTTACCTGTCACAAGGGGTTCGGGCTGGTGGCTCGCTCGCAGGGACCTTCATCCCGCTTTTGTGATTCATCTTCGCTGAAAGCAGCTAATGCCTCTTGGCGGGCATGCTTGAAACGTGAGCTGAGCCCAAACTGCTAGACTCGGTCTTGTCAGCTGTCTTACGTGGTGTGTTTTTCGTGCCTCTGTTTTAAAAAAAAACCCTGCTTGCAGATCAGGCGGCATGGTCACGTCTCAAGCGTTAAACTGAAATCATGGGCGTCTCCTGAAGAGCTGTAGCACGTTAATGCTGGTATAAACAGGTAAACGTAGAACAGTCCCAGCTGCCTAAAAATTTCGTATAAAATGCCTGTATTTTTTAAATAGTGTAATAAGGTAGTTCAGTCATTCAGCTGCATATGCACGAAAAGCTGTT